CAAAGTGTGGCTCTAACAGCTGTTGAACACACACAGACTGTGATGTTCTCCACACGTCACCCATCGCTCTGCACTTTTCCAGCATCCAACTGTTTTTCTGCTACATAACATCACTGCAGGAGAAAAACAACGGACAGACAGACAGCACAGTGTGACACGAGCAGGTCAGACCACCTGTGTGATCTCATGAGTCTGTGAGGATATGAGGCATCTTATGGTATCAAAGCCCTGGAGTCTGTCAAACATGGCTACATGTAAACACTGCTACATGTTAGGTGAGCTAACATTTAACTGACTGCACTTTTTTCAGTCTCAGTTTAGGTCATTTATGTCCTTACTGCGAATCACTGAAAGGCAAAGCTGGCTTTTATCGCTCTGATGTTACGCACATCATGCAGCACAGATTCATCTCTGATCACAAGACTCATATTTCAAAATAAAAGCGAGCTAAGGCTTGAAAAGAGGACGACGATTTTATGACAATCGCAGAGAAAAGAGCAACGAAAGGATTTAAAACTTGATGAAAATGTTTTTTCTCACTGAAAACTAGCAAATCCTAATAAACAGCATGACTGGCCCTCTGCTGTGAGGGGGCTTCAGTGGAGATGACTTCTGCTACAGCGACCTTCCTGCTACAGGATGGTCACATGATAACGATCAACGTTATGACAAAATAAAATAAATGTTGAAAAAACAAAGACAAAACTGATCGGTGGTAAGGATGAACTCATTTGAAACCTCTAGCTAACGGCCATTTTTTTCTTCTCATTATAAACTGCACCTGTTGTCTTTTGTCATCACAAAATAAGCATATCATTCATTCACTCCAAAAAACAAACAAACAAAACATAAAATAAGATAAGATAAGATAGAACTTTATTAATCCCTCGGGTGGGTTCCTCTGGGAAATTCGGTTTCCAAAAAAGCACAGCACCGACAGAAGTTACAGTTACAGAATGTTATATATATATATATATATATATATATATATATATATATATATATGTACACACACACACACACACACACACACACACACACACACATAAATACAGAGACAAATATAAATAAAATATACGAAGGGGATAAATAGAATAAATAGGAATAAAAATAAAAATACAAGTGAATTGCACATTTCAAGTATTGAGGTCTATTGCACTGTTGACTATTTACAAAAGTATTGCACAAAGGTATTGTACAGTGAGGTGAAGAGGCACTACAGCTTAGTTGTTCCCCCTCCTTTGTCCTCCTTTGTCCTCCTGTTTCCCCTCCCTCTCCCCTCCAGAGAGGAGTTAAACAGTCTGATGGCGTGTGGGACAAAGGAGTTTTTAAGTCTGTTGGTTCTTGTCTTTGAGAGAAGCAACCTGTCACTGAACAGACTCTTCTGGTTGTTAATGGCCGTGTGCAGAGGATGCCCAGCATTGTCCATAACGTCCAGCAGTTTCTTTAATGTCCTTTTCTCTGCCACTGTCACCAGAGTGTCCAGCTTCATGCCGACCACAGAGCTAGCCTTCCTGATCAGTTTCTCCAGCCTGGATGAGTCCTTCTTTGCTGTGCTGCTCCCCAGCACACCACAGCATAGAAAAGTACTCCAGCAACCACTGACTGATAAAACATCCTCAGGAGCTTCCTGCAGATGTTAAAAGACCTCAGCCTCCTGAGGAAGTACAGTCGGCTTTGGGCTTTTTTATACAGGTGCTCTGTGTTGCATGACCAGTCCAGTTTATTGTCCACCCACAGCCCGAGGTACTTGTACTTATTGACCACCTCCACCTCCTCCCCTCTATCTGAACCGGCAGTGGACCTTCTCTGGACCTCCGAAGTCCACAACCAGTTCCTTAGTCTTTGAGGTGTTGAGTTGCAGGTGGTTTGTGTGACTCCATGCGACAAAGTTCCTCACCAGACTTCTGTACTCCTCTTCCTGATCATCCCAGATACACCCCATGATGGCTGTGTCATCTGCAAACTTCTGAATATGGCATAATTCAGAGTTGTAGAGAAGTCAGAGGTGTACAGGGTGAAGAGAAGAGGGGACAGCACAGTTCCCTGTGGTGCTCCTGTGCTGCTGACCACAGTGTCAGACGTGATGTCCTTCAGCCTGGCGTACTGTGGTCTGTCGGTGAGGTAGTCGGAGATCCAAGCCACCAGGCAGGGGTCCACCTCCATCCTGTTCAGTTTTTCCTGAAGCATACAGGGCCGGATGTATAAATAAACAAGAAACTTAATATTTACAAATATTTTGTCTGTTTTTTTTTTTCTTACACTTAAAAACGTACAGTTCTGATCTTCCAGATGTTTCGTCTCCATCCGTCTCCCAGATTGGTATTTTCTTCTCTGTCCAGTGACCTCAGAGTGAGCGCTGAATGTGCCACAATGGCGCCCTCTAGTGTTAGCTTATAAAACAGACAAGGCGAAAGAACAGAGCCGAATGAAAGGACTCGTTTGTGTTCTCTCCTCTGCTGTAGCTGTGTGGTGCTGAGGTTAACTACACAACCCCTCGCCGCCTCCTTATACACAGGAGTGAGTACAAAAGGGTTCGTACGGACGCATCAGCCGGCCGTCCTTCTGCTCGACACTGTTAGCTGAAAGATGATCGGATCATCCTCTGTCCTGTATTTAAGGCTGAGAGTCTTTGTCCAGTCTCTTTTCCACAGCTACTGTCCACAGCACTGATCCACCTGCAGCACAGCCCCAGTCAGTTGTTTTATGATTTACATTGTGCACGTTTCCCTTCCAGTGAGCTTACAAAACCTCTGACAGGAGAAGTCAGGCATGTGTTTCCCCCACCTCCCCTTTTAGGCAGTAATAAAATAGAAAACAAACAATCAAACAGGCTAAAGCTAGAGCACAAGCAAAGACAGCACCGGTGACTAAGTTCTCCCATACTGGACGTACGCTACCACGTGGGCTCAAACAGCAGCACATCAGCTCAGTTTACATACTGTTGACATCTTCATCAGAGGATCAGCAGGGAGCGCTGCTGAGCTGCAGTCGTCTCCACCAGAGTGACGGAGCAGGAATCACAAACAGCACAAACCCACCGTGTTGTTTCTTCCCTGTTCAGGAGATCTGAGCCCCCATCCCTTTTTGTCATGTTGCAGCTCTGCACTGCAGGCCCTGAACGTCTCCCGGTTACCTTCAGTGTGCTTAGAGTTTAATTTACAACCGACGAGCTCACAGATCATCTGCAGGCAGGTGAACGAACCCTTAATGTGAGGATAATAGCAGAGCTGACCTGAGGTCAGAAATGGTCAGGAACGGTGTCGACACAGTGAAGTCAGGTGTTTGGGAATTTGTCTGATTATCAGATTGGGGGGGGGGGTCGGTGTTAAATAACAAAGGTGGTGTAGGATGGAGAGAGGAGGAGGGAGGGAGCAGTGATGATATGGAGGAAGGTGATTGGTTAAGCAGCAGGAAGGAGCTCATGCTGGAGTCTGAGTTTTTACTGTTGGCCTTTTTCTGCTTTTTGTTTATTGTTGTCTGACGCGGGCCCGCCTACGCTTGAGTGATGCAGATGTGATATCACACTCACACAGCGACTGCCGCTCCTACACACGCACACACACACACACACACACACGTGCCATACACAAGGGGGTCAGACAGGAGCAGCATCAGTCTCTGCTCTGTTTTGTTAATAACGTAGAAAAATAATTTTGTACAATCAAGCTACATCGACGGACGCTTTACCTCACGTACCCTAAAATGAAAAAGTAGTGACAGTAAGATGAAGGCTGCACATGACACCATGACTGAGTTCACAGCTGTTGCTTTGATTCTAACGTTTAAGACTTTTGGCATCGACTCCGTTTTAATAAATGAGTGCTGGGAGGCGTCGTTTGACTTCAGGAGCTCCTGCGATGCTCTTACTCTGCGGGAGAAAACCAAAAACCAAAAGTAGCAAACATGGAGCGATATGACTCGTTTAGTCTTGGGAAACGTGCATCGACAGGTACAGTGTCCTTTTCCCCGCGTCTTTAAAAATAATTCATGCATAGATCCCCCACTGAGAAAACCCTTTTATATACTTTCTCCTTTGTACACATTTTATATAGAACTATATATAATATCATTTCTCTATATCTATATTTTCAGAAAAATTCTTTCCACACAATAAAAAACAACAATTAAACAAATGCTTCAAACAAAACAACAAAAGAAGAGAAGATGAAAGAAAGAAAAACACGACTGAGGCCAGTTTGGCACTTTGTCACGAGAACATGACAGAACTCTGTTAGTTGACGGTAAATAGCGATACTTTATTTTTCTTTCGTTTTTCTTCTCGATTTTTTTTTTACTTGTAGTTCTAAATTGGAAGCTTATTGTGATTTTGCATTATACAAATAAAATTATATTTTGTTATTTTTTCATCGCTCAAAATAAGCATCACACTCGCGGAAGCCGGTGTATCCGGCGAAACGCCGTGCATTTATCGAGCCTTTCAACCCCAGATAGGCCAATTATGGCTCTTTGGGTCTTAAAGGTTGTTGACCCCTGCTTTAGATGAACAGAGTTTTTTAATTAAATACATACTCTTTAATAAATGTTCTCTTTTATAAAAAGTAGGATAATTAAAAAAACTTTTATTATACCTCTATTAGAAAAAAAACTGTCTTGTTTTCTGTTGTCTGTTATGTAATATTAGGGATGTTTGTGACAATTAATTTCATTATCGGCTGGACTAACCAATAGTCCACAACTAGGAAACACTGAAATTTTAAGTTAAGTTTGAAAACAGTTTAAAAAAAAACACCCCATTCCAAAACGTCTTGTGACAATCTCATTGGAGTGATGATGTCATAGAACGTCATAAGTCCTTTGATGTTTTTCCTTAAATAGGGGTGAGAAACAGCAAGATTTAGTTCGTTTCAGCAGCATCTGTGTTTGCAGCCTACAAAACGTTCACCACAGAAACATTTGGAAAGCTCTTCAAAGTCATCGTATAGAAACTCCAACATGTTTCCAAGAAAAAACAACCAATTCAAAAAGATTACGCCGCCTCTCCTTCCTGGCGTGGCCAGCCAATTTCCCCAAATGGCATCTCATCCTTCCAAAGGGCATTAGAGGAGAGTAGGAAGGAAAACTACCTTCTCCAGAAAAAAATGCAACAAATTGAAGAAGAAAAACATCAACTGGAGGACAAGTGTAGACGAATGGAAGCCCAAAATAAAGAGCTGGAAGAAAGACAACAGCGCCAGCCGGACATAAACATTATTAATGAGGGCTGGGGAATCAAGTTTGCTCAGGCCCGAGAGCAGATTGTGCACCTCAATAAAGAAAACAGGCAAAAGCGCGCAGAACTAAAAGAAATGACCAACCAGCTCCAAGACAAGAAAACGATGACTGATAAGATACAACGGGATCTCCACCACATGGACCGAAAAAATCTGCTCCTCCAAAGACAGCTCCATGAAGCTGTGGAAGAAAAGAATAAATTCCTCCAACAGAAGGAAGAGCAGGACAAAAAGCAACAAGACATGCAGCACAAACTGAAGAGCATGCAGGAAAAATACCGCATGCTGAAAGAAAGCCTGGATGAAACACTGCGCCAAAATAAAGACCTTCTTCAACAGAAAGAGCAACAACAAAAAAGACTGAAAGAAGGAAAACGCATCGTCCAGGACTTTCAGTCTAAAAATCTAAAACTGCAAGAGTTTTGTAATCAGCTGGAGGACAAAGCAACTAAAGTGGAAGAAGAAAGGGACAAACTGGAGAAACGCTGCTCACAGATGCAGAAAAGGATCGATCAGATAGCGAGAAACAACTCCGAGCTCGTTAAGGGGCGTTTGGTGGAATTCAATAACTTGAAGCGTGAACACACTCAAATGCAGTCACAAAAACAACAAGAAGACAAAATACATGAAGACAAAAATCAAGAAATCAAGAAAAGAAAGAAGCAGTTAAAAGACAAGCACAAAGAGGTCCAACAGAAAAATGCAGACATGCACAAGGACAAGCTGATACAGGAGGAAACATCCAAACAACTCAAAGACAAGCTTGAAGAACAACAAGCAGCATTGGAAGAGGTGGAACAAAGATGTGAGAAACTTGAAGAAAAAAAACGCAGAAACCATCGACGAGCTGAGAAATCTCATCCTGCAGAAAAAGCGCTCGTGGAAAAGTGCATGAAAAAAAAGAAAAAATGGTTCCACTTGTTCCAGAGGAGAGACGCTACTGCTTCCTCACCTGATGTAGCCTCGTCTTGCTCCACCTCTGTTAATCCCCCCCCCCCCCCCCCCCCCCCCCCCCCAGCCAGTCCCGGCAGTTGACTGTCCCCTCCTGAGCCTGGTTCTGCCGGAGGTTTCTGCCCGTTTAAAGGCAGTTTTTCCTCCCCACTGTCGCCAAGTGCTTGCTCAGAGGGGATTGTTGGGGTTTTCTCTCCTAACTTCTTTCCTTATTTCTTCATTTTACCTTTTTTCTTCATTTACTTGTTTAACTTCTTTCATTGTTACTTCATTTTACCTTGTTTCTTCATTTACTTGTTTAACTCCTTTCATTATTACTTCATTTTACCTTTTTTCTTCATTTACTTGTTTAACTTCTTTCATTATTACTTCATTTTACCTTTTTTCTTCATTTACTTGTTTAACTTCTTTCATTATTACTTCATTTTACCTTGTTTCTTCATTTACTTGTTTAACTTCTTTCATTATTTCTTCATTTTACCTTTTTTCTTCATTTACTTGTTTAACTTCTTTCATTATTACTTCATTTTACCTTGTTTCTTCATTTACTTGTTTAACTTCTTTCATTATTACTTCATTTTACCTTGTTTCTTCATTTACTTGTTTAACTTCTTTCATTATTACTTCATTTTACCTTGTTTCTTCATTTACTTGTTTAACTCCTTTCATTATTACTTCATTTTACCTTGTTTCTTCATTTACTTGTTTAACTCCTTTCATTATTACTTCATTTTACCTTGTTTCTTCATTTACTTGTTTAACTTCTTTCATTATTACTTCATTTTACCTTGTTTCTTCATTTACTTGTTTAACTTCTTTCATTATTACTTCATTTTACCTTGTTTCTTCATTTACTTGTTCAACTTCTTTCATTATTACATCATTTTACCTTGTTTCTTCATCTTTTCAACTTCTTTCATTTACTTCATTTTACTTGTTTCTTATTTACTTTTCTTTCATTATTACTTCATTTTACCTTGTTTCTTCATTTACTTGTTTAACTTCTTTCATTATTACTTCATTTTACCTTTTTCTTCATTTACTTGTTTAACTTCTTTCATTATTACTTCATTTTACCTTGTTTCTTCATTTACTTGTTTAACTTCTTTCATTATTACTTCATTTTACCTTTTTTCTTCATTTACTTGTTTAACTCCTTTCATTATTACTTCATTTTACCTTGTTTCTTCATTTACTTGTTTAACTTCTTTCATTATTACTTCATTTTACCTTGTTTCTTCATTTACTTGTTTAACTTCTTTCATTATTACTTCATTTTACCTTTTTTCTTCATTTACTTGTTTAACTCCTTTCATTATTACTTCATTTTACCTTGTTTCTTCATTTACTTGTTTAACTTCTTTCATCATTACTTCATTTTACCTTGTTTCTTCATTTACTTGTTTAACTTCTTTCATTATTACTTCATTTTACTTGTTTCTTCATTTACTTGTTTAACTCCTTTCATTATTACTTCATTTTACCTTGTTTCTTCATTTACTTGTTTAACTCCTTTCATTATTACTTCATTTTACCTTGTTTCTTCATTTACTTGTTCAACTTCTTTCATTATTACTCATTTTACCTTGTTTCTTCATTTACTTGTTCAACTTCTTTCATTATTACTTCATTTTACCTTGTTTCTTCATTTACTTAACTTCTTTCATTATTACTTCATTTTACCTTGTTTCTTCATTTACTTGTTTAACTTCTTTCATTATTACTTCATTTTACCTTTTTCTTCATTTACTTGTTTAACTTCTTCATTATTACTTCATTTTACCTTTTTCTTCATTTACTTGTTTAACTTCTTTCATTATTACTTCATTTTACCTTTTTCTTCATTTACTTGTTTAACTTCTTTCATTATTACTTCATTTACCTTTTTCTTCATTTACTTGTTTAACTCCTTTCATTATTACTTCATTTTACCTTGTTTCTTCATTTACTTGTTTAACTCTTTCATTATTACTTCATTTTACCTTGTTTCTTCATTTACTTGTTTAACTTTTTCTTTTTACTTCATTTTACCTTTTTCTTCTTTACTTGTTTAACTTTTTCATTATTACTTCATTTTACCTTGTTTCTTCTTTTACTTGTTTAACTTCTTTCATTATTACTTCATTTTACCTTGTTTCTTCCTTTACTTGCTTGTTATTCTTATCTAAATAATAAACCAATTAAATTTATCCTTTGAGTATTTTTCATCTCATCTTTACAGAATCTTTCCAAAACATTTTCAAACATTCAGATCTGTCTTTTATTTTCTTCTTGAAACCTCATAAATGGTGAACTAAAAACCCGGATTATGGTTTGAAACATAGTTTCAGCTGAAACTGCCATAACATGCTGTGTGTGTGTGTGTGTGTGTGTGTGTGTGTGTGTGTGTGTGTGTGTGTGTGTGTGTGGTGTGTGTGTGTGTGTGTGTGTGTGGAGAGAGAGAGAGAGCTCACAAAACTAGGTGGTGTTCTTCATTGTAATAGGAAAGGCAATATGAGTCCCCACTGTTTCTCAAAGACTTGTTTCTGTAGTCTGAGTATGTAATTTGTTCCATCAGACAGACATGGATCCATAGATTATATCTGGTTTTAACCATCTGATAGTTATGCATTTTAGGGCTGCAGTGAGTCATATATTTAGCAGGTAACTTTTGGCTTTGCAGTCAATATGTTCTGCAATCCTTCCCAACACTGCTGCTGTAGGACTTAGTGGAATATTTACCTTGGAAAATGTCTTTGAGAGCATCAAATATCTGCCTCCAGAATACACAGAGTTTAGGGCAGAGCCACAATATATGAGTGTGGTTGGCAGAGTGTGTCCCACAGTTCCTCCAGCATGAACTCAGATGTGTTGGACCCATCTTAGCAGTTATTTCTGGTGTTCTGTAGAATCTGGCACATTAATGCCCCCTTTATTTTGGGCACTGCAGGGTTTTGAGTCTAATTCTAGGCCGCTGTTTAGCCTACATGAAGTTAGAAATTCTTCAATACAGCTTGGACTCTCCACCATTTGACCCTTAGAACTGAAGAAGCTTCTCGGATGAGAGGTGAAACGTCTTCAAGTAACTCAAAGAAGTCCAGACGCTTTTCTTTCCAAGCTCCTTAGACTACGATGACCTGGATGACTGAGAACCTTCACAGACTTCTCCACACTTTAAATGCGCTCTAATGATGGGAACGTGTGGTAACATTTAGTCTTAACTGAAATAACACATTGCATCTATAAATGGGATTAAAATGTTTACCAAAGACTAACGTTTTTCATTCAGAACAAACAGCATATTTCAGGTTAGGGCTGCACAACTAGTCTGTCCAATATTAAAATGACAGTTGTTTGTTACAGTTATTCACAGATTGTTGTGGCAAAATGTGTTTTGATTGCACTGTCATGTCAGAATACTGCTTTCACCTTTACTTTGTGCTACACTCATGTTAATTAATCTTCATAAATTAATGTTTGCAAACACAAAGTATAAAGTTTTCCACTCTGCTATTTGTACCTGCACAACAGATGTGAATAAAACTCAAACCTATACGAGGCTCCTTCTCCGTTTCCCTGCAACATTTTGTATAGATCTAACTTTTGCCACATAAAGAACCTTCTGATGTGTTTACAGTAAATGTATTTGATAGTAGCTTATTTGTAACTTTTAGTGGGCCTATGCAATGTTCCCTCTAAGCTGCGCACGTGCGCAATTGCGCACTGCTGGCACAGTCTCTGCGCACAGAAATTCTGCTTTGTGCACAAAAAAAGATCTAACCTGAATTGAAATTAAAATTAATACTTTAACAATTATGTTTTGCAGTGTTGGTCAGTAAGTGACTGGTTGCTCCCATATGGGAACGATGCCACCTTATCCCATAGTCCAGCCAATAATGCGTATATGCGCAGCTAATCAACGTGGTTGACAGGCTATGACAGCGTCCTTATGTGCCGCTTTTTTGTTTTTACATTTTCAGTGTAAGTGGGCTAAAGCAGTTAATTAAAAGTAGTCTAACATAAATGTAAATGCTGTAATTTGATTCTTTTAATAAACCATGAAACTTGGATGGATTCGATGCCGGCGTGACCACAGTGCACACGTCTGATGTCGCTCAGTGGTCCAAGGGATCGCTCAGGGAGTTTGTGTGTTCGCTCAGACACGTGAAAAATTAGAGGGAACATTGGGCCTATGACATTCAGTACCCAGTTATTAAAATGTTAAGTGTAAATCATCCCCAGCCCACAATAGCAGCTGAATTTACTACGATTTCAGATCTTTTTACACGTCAATAAGAAACCACCGATGTGTAAAACAGGCTGACAACAGAATGACGTAAACCACACTGCTGCAACTGTGCAGCTCTCAGGTTTTATCTATTGTTTCTCTGTGTGGCCAGCAGGGGGAGGTGTTTTGCTGGTTTTTTAAAATATTAAAACCCCTGGAGGGCCTTGGGTCGATTTGTGGCTATTTTTGGCTATTTTCAAATTTTGATTACCTGCCATTTGCACAGTGTTGAATGGAATATAGCGAAAGTCTGCAAAAAAAGTTTGGTCACATTTACTGTTAAAATTTCAGTATGACTTCCGGAAATTAGCTTCAGTGGCTAAGCTAGCGATAAACTTACGCTATTAATCCTAGGATCGATTTGTGCCCCATTGAAACCCTTTATAAACGCTATTTTTCACGGCAAAAAAAATACGGTCGAATCGATCTCGATCGGTAATGCTTCCGCTTCCGCTTGCAGTACTGGCCTTGGAGTTGTAATTTTTTTATTTGTCCACCGGGTGGCGCCCTTGCTCCACATTTGACCCGGGGCTGGAAAACAGCGGGCTGCTTAAAGAGACCTGCGGGAAATGACGCCTCTTTTCCGGCGTGCTGCAGCGGTTTCGCCCGCTGATCGGGCGGGACAATTTTCGGTCCCAGGACCGTTTGAGGTTGGATTTTTTTTTTTAA